GAGATATCTGATTATAGTCATGCCAAGAGATTGGGAGTTCAGTTAGCTAGCATTAAATAAAATGCGCATGAAGGACACCCAACATTTGCAACCTTTCTCATAGATGATGTGACTCATCCCTGGCATCATTCTTGTCCGCTTCTTCCCTCCCTCCCACCGTCCTAATCACATTCTTCCTAAAGAGTGGCTGTACATGACTGTACACTACTACAGCTGAGGTCTAACCAGTGTCTTATAAATTCTTCATAACCTCCCTGTTCTTGTACTGTCTGCTCTGTTAATGAAGCCTAGAATTTTGTATGCTTTATTAACAGCTCTGCAACTGTCCTGCAACTTTAATGACTTGCACATATAAATGGCCCATTCTCTAGGCTGTTGACTGGAATGTGGTCCCATTCTTTGGTGGTTCTTTCTCAACAAACTACTTTTGCTTGAGTCACCAACACTCAAATGCGAATAAATAGCATGTCAAGCAGAAGTTTTTTTAATGGATCCGTGAAAATACTTTGCCACAGGGTGTGATTAAAGTAAAAAAAGTTTTTAAAGGCACTTGAAGTAGTGGCAAACCTGGACTGTAGAGAGAGTCCTCCATCAATGAGCTAGCACAGGCACAGTAGGAGGCGATAGTATAGTGGTATTGTCAATGGGTCAGTAATCCAGAGACCCGGAAAATGGATTTGGGTTTACATCTGTCTATAGCAAGAACTACAAGTCTAAGACTAGGTACAGGAAAAGATCCATGGCAAGCTCAGCCCTGTTGACCTTATAGCCCCAGGGGCACCTTACTAATATCTGGGGGTCGTGCAAAGTTAGCAGAGCAGTCTTGCAGGCTAGTAAAGCATAAGTCTGACAGTCATACTTGCAGTGATACATTTAAGACACTATCCCAGGCACCAATACCACCATCACCATGCCTGGGTATGTCCTGTCCCATTTGCAGGACAGATCCAACCGAGATGCCAGTGCAGTAGTATACAGTCAGGAACGAGTTTGAGTCCTCGATGTTGATTCAGGTTAAACATGGATAAGGAAACCTGATTCAACACCATTTGGAGGAATCATTGTGAGTGACAATGGCGCAGAATGTTTTCTTTGGGGAACTTCAGTGTCCATCATCAAGACTGGCTTGGGAGCATCATTGCAGTCTGAGCTGCAAAAGTCTTAATGCACAAAGCTGTATAATTGGGTCTGCACCAGGTAGTGATGGTACCAATGAGAGAGAAGAACATACCTGACCTCATCTTTACCAATCTCCTTGTCAGGTACATCTGTCATAGAGCTATTAAGCACGGAAACAGACTCTTTGGTCCAACTTGTCTGAACGATCAGGCATCCCACTGACCTAGTCCCTTTTTCTAGCATTTGGCCCCTTCCTATTCATGTACCCATCAAAATGCCTTTTAAATGTTGTAATTGTACCAGCCTCCTCCACTTCCTCTGGCAGCTCATTCCATACACTCACCATGTCTGCCTGGAAGAAGTTACCCCCAGCTCTTTTTTTAAACCCTTCCCCTCTCACCTTAAATCTATGCCTTCTCATTTTGTTCTTCCCCTATCTTAGGAAAAAAACTTTGGTTATTCCCCCTATCCGTGCCCCTCACAATTTTATAAACTCTATAAGGTCACCCGTCAGTCTCCACCGTTCCAGGGGAAAAAGCCCCAGCCTGTTCAGCCTCCCCATAGAACTCAAACCCTCCAATCCCTGCAACACCCTTGTAAATATTTTCTGCATCTGTTCAAGTTCAACAGCTTCCTTCCTATAGAAGGGCACCCCATGAAATATTGGTAGGAGTGACCGCCCTACAGTCCTTATGGAGACAAAATCCCATCTTCATTCACACAGAGCGTGACAGAGGACATCCTTAATGACACCATACTGAATGGAATAGACTTCGAATAGACCGTGCAGCAAGAATTCCATAAGGTGCTGTGGGCTAAAATAACAGTCTGCAACCTTGTGCCTTGGTGTACTCCCCACTCTACCATTACCATCAAGCAAGCGTATCAATCCTGTTTCAATGAAAAGTAGAGGAATACGTGCCAGGAGCGGAACCGGACACACTTTAAAAATAAGCTGTCAGCTTGGTGAAGTCACAACACTGGACTGCTTGCATACCAAGCACCATAAGCAGCATGTAATGGACTAAGCATTTCCATAAGCAATCTAAGGCTCTGCAGACCTGCTGTATCCAGTCATGAATGGTGGAGGTTCCACAAATATCCCCATCTGTAATAATGGGGAAGCCCAGCACATCAGTGCCAAAGATAAGGCTGAAGCCAGCCAGCAACACCCACATATCACAAATGAATAGAAAAAAAAATTACAACAATCTTCATGCAGGAGTGCCAAGTGGATGATTTATTGTGGCTTGCTCCAAAGGTCTCCAGTATCACCAAAGCCAGACTTCAGCCAACTTGATCCACTCCATGTGATGTCAAGAAATGGCTAGGTTCTTATAATATTCTGATAATAGTACTGAGACTTGTGCTCCAGAACTAGCCATGCCCCTAGCCAAGTATTCCTATACAGTCACAACACTGGTAAATACCAGCAATGTGGAAAATTACCCAGTTATTGTCCTGTCCACAAAAAGCATGACAAAACTAATCCGGCCATTTGCCATTCCACGAGACTACTCTCGATCATCATCAAAATTGTGGAATGTATTGTTGGCAGTACTACGAAGTGGCACTTAGTCAACAACAACCAGCTCACTGATGCTGAGTTGTTTCTGGCAGGACCACTGGGCTCCTGATTTTCATTGCAGCCTTGGTCCAGACATTGAACGTGCATGGGACAGAGGATGTGAGGGTGACTGCCTTTGTCATCAAGACATCATTTAATATAGTGTGGCATTGTGCAGGCCCTAGTAAACTGAAGTCTCTCCTGGCCAAAACCAGATCTCCCACAAAGGATGCTGGTTGTGATGGTTGGAGATCAATCATCCCGGTGCAAATACACCTCTGCAGGAGATCCTGAATTTGCCTATTCAGGGATGTCCGAGAGCTGGTGGCACTTGAACCTGGGCCTCCTAGCTTATGGGTTGTGACACAAAAGTCGCAGTTCCTCAAGGTAGCTATTTTACTCAACCTATTTAGATATGTTATGACAACTCTAGATCAGAGATAGTGGCACCACTGCTGCACCACAAGAGCACCCAGTTCCTCAGGGTAGTATCCCAGGCTCAACAATCTTCAGCTGCTTCATCAATGATCATCTTCGTTCCATCATTGTTCAGGACTATTTGCAACTTCTCAGATGCTGAAACAGTCCATGTCTAAATGCAGGATGTGAGAGGACATCATGATGCTTGGGTACACAAGTGGTAAATAACATGCAAGCCCACAAAGCAGGCAGGCAGGCAGGCAATGAACATCTCCAATAAGAAACAATCCAACTTTCACCCCTTTACAATCAGTGGCGTTACCATTGCTGAATCCCCCTCTATCAACATCCACGGTGTTATCAATGACTGGAAACTGAACTGGGACTAGCTATATGAATTCTACAGCTGGAAGTGCACTTAAACGCTGGGAAGCTGGACCAAACAGCTCACTTTGTATCCACTCCAAGAGTCGCCACATTTTATTCCTGGAAGAGTTGTACAGCACCAGGCACAGAACATGATGGTGTAATTGAAATAATAGGAAATGTTACAGATAATGGCATTTTTAGTTGAGGCTTCCTCCTTCAAAACCATGGTGGGTAATTGGAATTTAGAAGAGATTCCACTTCTTTTTCCATATTGATGAAATAATTCAAATGTTTACTTCATGTGAAGATGCTTGCGGGTCTATTTCCTACTAGGGATTCTGATTCATGTAGAATATGCCATCAGGAAATTATGATGGCTAGCAGGTGCTGTTTTTCATTTTTGATGAATTTACTGTCTGTCCCCTTAACCATTCACCAATTTAGCAAAAGCTAAGGTGTGCCCTTTCTGCAGCTGTTAATAATTGAACAGTAGTTTAACCTGCTGTTTCATGATAAAGTCTTGGGATCTAAAGCAAAAAGACTCTCATAAAAGATACAATGGTGTATTTTTTTAAACATAAGTTAGTTGTATTTATTTGAAATTAGATGTGTCAGTTTGCTACTTTGCTGACCGTCTTGATGAACCCTGTGAGTTGTATGTAAAACAAACCCTTAGGGTCAGCTAGTTCTGTTTGTCGATGTTGCAGAGACATTAACTGCCTGTGTAATAATATTAATAGTAATAGTTTGTGTATTATAATGTTAATGCTCAGCCCACTCAAAATACAATTTTACATGTGCAATGTTTGTATATTTTCTTTGCTTGTTGTCAGTTTTTCCTCCTATTCCCTTGTACTCCCATTTATTAATCGTATTAACTTCAAAATTTGTGATTACATAGCACTACTAGCATATAACTCCAGTATTTCTGCCCACTTTATATATACAGCAAATTTTTGCTGTACCTATTATTATAGGGGCAGCTTGGCAGCTATCCTTTGCAAAGCAATTACGGCCAAATAGAAAAGAGATGGATAACCAGTCATCATCAGTTCTTGGTGGTGCTTGAGAAAGAAATGCTAGGACATGGCAAAAGCTCATTGCTGTTAATATATTGCCAAAGATTTTTAATTTCCACAAGGATAAGTGGACAGGACTAGAGTTTGAATGTCTCATCTGAAGAATAATACTTCTGGCAAGTGTGACATTTGCTCACTTTTCCCGTGAATGGTCAACAGAACAAAGCAAGAAAATATAACTGTTTCCACACCATTTCTTACATCAAATAAGACAGCAAATAGAAATTATTGACTTTTGAAATGAAGGAATAGCTTTCCCAGTTATTTGCTGCATCCTAAATTTGAGGGAGGGAAAATTAACTTTGTAAATTGTAACTCCAAGGTAAAACTTTTCCAAATGTGATTTATATGCGATTTAATACAGTCTTGTTGCGTTGACATCATGCTGAAGTTGAAGAAATATGCAAGTGGAGAAAGGACGGTCATATAAGATGTAATCTTGTAAATAAGACCTGAGCATGTCGCATCTGCTTTGCTTCACTTTCGTGGTAACTGCTCATTCCATTCACCTGCAGGCACACCAACAAGTGGGAATTCTGATTTTGGTGACTGGAGTGCCTTCAGCCAAGCCCATTCCAACCAGCCTGTCATGTCGAGTGGAGGGGACCTCTACAACAGTATGCAGCCTGTCCAAGCTCCTGCACCTGCCACAGATCTGTTTGATCTAATGCCTGGTTTTCAGTCAACCATGACCTCATCACAGAGCATGAGCTTTGCTATGTCAGCTTCCAACACCATTTCTACCACTGGTACCAGTATGTCCTTATCCAGATCCCAGGTGAGTGCAAGTTTGTGACCAGGAGTTTGTAATATGTGTAGATTAGAGTTCAAATGCCCAGTCCCAATTATTGAATATGAAGTAACATAGACTTTAGTTTAGGAATGTGTTAGCTGCCACCTCTGCTTGAAGTGATGTCATTTGGATTCCAGAGAAGTGCAATTTTGGGTGTGTTATGTCTTGAGTTGAGAAATTCCAGATACTTAAAAGACAGGAAAAATAAAGGAGCGATATCAAGTGAAAACAAGAAATGCTGAAAACGAGAATATTCTGGAAGAGAATATTTTGTATCTGTACACTTAATGACACGTGAGATGGTACATTTAGCAGGTTCTGATTTATAACTAGGCGGTGAGCATCTTGAGCTGTATATTGACTCCGGCTGAAGCACTTGAGTTTGTGAACAAGTAATTGTGAACAGAGTGTGTTGCTCAAGCACATTATCAGCTCAGGTGTATAAATATCCTGTGTAGCTTTAATAAAATTAATACAACATTGTATTGTTGTTAGATTCCCATTCAGTCCTGCAAACGTCGTACAATATTAGAACTGTCATGCCGTTTCTAATGTGCCTTTTAGTGATTAATGAAGATATGCATGAAATACTGTAAAGTATATAAAGTTAAAATAGTCCTTCATTCATTGTGTTGTTTGATAAAATGGTCATTTAGCATTGGATTCTGCAGTGACGTTTCCTTATTAATACCATAATGTAGATAAATATCCCATCTGTACCCTCAGTGGGAAAGTTAGGTTATTAAAGGCAAGAAAAGATGGCTATTTTGTGAATGAGGACTAAAAGTGAACGGTTCCGTGGAGAGTGTTCTAAAAGCCAATGGAAAGACGAGAAATTACATCCTATAATGTCTCCCTGTGAAAACTTTAATAACAAATGTAGTCATTAAATTTCACTTTCGTCTATTTGTCAACACTTCGCTTGTTTTCTTTTTTTCCTTCTGCTTTCATACAGGCTGTTTGCCTTATGCCATGCTCAATTACCCTATTTTTCACAGGTGTGCTTAAGCAGTGAATGTCAGCAGGTGATTTGACAATGGACACCTTGGAACGAGAACAAAATTGTTCTTGGTCAGCATCTGTGCACAAATCCTATTAGGCAAATGTCTCTGGACAGGATTGTGAAGTAGGGTCCTGCTGAGGTTAACTGAAGCAGCAAAACTGCTTGACCACCTCACTGAATCCATATCAGAAATTAACATAATCTATATGGTTTGTTGCTTGCAATGAGATTCATTATCATTAGCCAGGATGAGGGACCTAAGGGAAGAAAGTGAGAAGGGAAAATAGGAAGAAAAATGAAGTGTCATCTAGTTTTGAATGGATTGTCTTATTTAACAAACTGGTGTTTCTCTTTCAGCCTTTGCCGATGTTGTCCACACCTTTGTCGAGACCTGTTGTTGCTGTACCCACACAGAATATGCAAGACAACCAGAAAGCAGCGAAGCCATCTTTGCCTTCAACTTGGTCAGACCCAAGTGTTAACATCAGTCTAGACTTTCTGACACCTGGCATGCAACCTCCCAAACCCCAGCAACCATCACTTAACACCATGATGCAACAACAAGGTAAATACACTTAGAACGACAGAAGGAAAGAAGGAATGGCTTACATTTATGTAACATTCCTCACAATGTCTGTTATTTCTCTCTCGCCGTTTTCTAGCCAATACTGTAATCACTGTTGTAATATTCAGAAATAGTCGGCTGTTGTGTCTGAACTAGTGCTATCCAATTAGCCCCATTTATCTGCTCTGTCCCCAGAGCAATGTATTTTTCTCTCAAAAATTTAGTTGTTTCCCTTTTGAAAGTTACTGTTAAATCTCCTTCCAAAACACTTTCAGCCAAAGCATTCCAGATTAGCACAGTTCATTGTGTGAAGGAATGCATCCTCATGTTTTCTCTGGTCCTTTTGACAATCACTAAAATCATGTTCTCTTGACACAGATCCTCCTACCGGGGGAACTAACTAAAACGGTTTATGATTTTGAAAACTTCTATTCAGTCTCCTTTTAACTTGCTCAACTCAAAGAGCACCACCAGATTTTGCAGTCTTTCAATCTAACTGAAATCCCTTATCCCTGAGCCACACTAGTAAATCTCTCTTGTTTCACCTTCTAAAGCCTTGACATCCTTAAAGTGTGGTGCCCAGAATTGATAGCACTACTTCAGCTGAGGCCTAACTAATGTTTTATAAAGTTTTAGCATAATTTTCTCACTTTTGAACCATCTACCTCTGTTTCATGAAACCAAAACTCTAACACGCTTGTTATAAGACCCTTCTCATCTTCAGCAGTCTTCAAAGCTTTGTATACATACAGCTGTGTGTCTCTATGTTCTCGCACCACCTTTTAAAATTGTGTCACTTAGTTTGCATTGCATTTTCTCCTTATTCCTATCATTGCTCCTTTAAAATTGAGAATGAAGCTGTTTGGTTTCAACAGACTCTGCTGTCTTACTTAATCCCAACACATTATCTCATTTGTTCTTGGGTCCATGTTTATAGTACTTATCCAGTAGGGGAGATTTATCACACTCTCCACCTGCCAGTTTTTTGCTGCAGTTGAAGGTTTTCTTCTGCTATAAGTGTGATATAATGACGCCTCATCTTAGTCAATGAAGTGACATTCAAACAGCTCCCTTTTTCCCTCCCCTGTCTGACGTCAGACAGTTGAGATTTGCATTTTCCATTGTCTGTCTCATCAGTACAGTCACTATGCAGAAAAAGACTTACTTTTCCCATTCTTTTTTTTTAAAAGGTTGGATGAGTTATCTCTCAAATGTTTTCTCAAAATTCCATTCTCTGTAGGTGGTATGTATGGGTAGGCAGACCTCCTATGGCATTTTTCATGGCGAGTTAGAGGAATTGGAAGTTAATTGGGGAAGAAAACAATTTTGCACTATTTAGCATTATCAAAGTTTTACAATAGAATTTCTTTTGATCTTTGAGGATTTTTCAAAGAACACTCCTGAAAAACAAAGGCTGGGCGATTAGCTAGTTTATTTGTTTACTTAACTAATGATTTTTCCTGAATCCAAACACTTGCTTCCTCATATGCTGAGTTCGAAGTGATCAGTCTGCCACTTCATCCATAGCCTGGGCACTCTGAATAACGTGCAGCATTGTTTGTTTATTTTGACCAGTGCATGAGGGGTTTATGCTGAAACATCAGTGATGGAGATCAGCTGTTCAGGTGTCACGGCTTGTACTGGCGCCGTTTAACAAGGACCACACTCTGTATTTGGGTGGTTCAGAGTTTGCCACTTAATAAATAGAGCTTCTTGCAGGGGGCTTTCTTGATCCAAAGGATGTTTGTTGATGGATCTCGCTTAGGAATGTTGACCATATAGAGTGCCAAGATGGAAGGCATAGATTGAACAGTGGAGTGGTAAGTGACGTGCAGAATGGATAGTGTCAATCAGTTTATGGGTTTTTGTCAGTTGTCAGATGTGTGGGGGAATGATGCATGTGAGGTATATTGAGTGATGATTCCAGTTATAATGTGCACTGTTATGTTCAGTTGAAAGTGTGCGAGATTCATGTGATGACCTTTGACAGGTGCACAGTATTCTACAGAAATTGCTGGAAAGACTCAGGTCTGGCACCATCTGTGGAGACAAAGCAGTTAACGTTTCAGGTCCAATGACCCTTCTTCAGAAGGATCTGTGTCTTCACAGATGCTGCCAGACTGGCTGAGTTTTTCTAGAAGTTTTTGTTTTTGTTCAGTATTCAACATCCATAGTGCTCTTTTTGTTTGCACTGTATTCTGCTGCGGAATATAACGGGGTGAGTGTTGTGACAGTTGCATGTAAATTCAGTAGGTTTGATTAGTAGATTGCTTCCGGTCCCAGGAAGACAAAGTATTGTCATGAATGATTCCCAAGTATGTTGGTTGCACTTTGGTTTCTGACCTTGCATGTACATGTATAGATATGTAATTTCTTTTTGACCCTGCCATTATGGAGGTAGATATGAGTTTGGAGGGATTCAACAGAGTCCATGTACTGCAATAGTCACTCAACTTAAGAATCTGATCAGATATGATCGAAGGAAAGCAAAATGGATGGCATCAGCATAGATCAATTAACTTGCAGTTTGTGATCGTTAGTATGTCATTTGTTTATAGTTGGAATAGCATTGAGGCTAGCACTGAGCCCTGTGGTAGTCCATTGGTCAGTCTTCTCCTTGCACTTCCCCCTTACCCAAGGTGTACTTTAAATTATCTGTTGCATAGAAGTGTTTGAACCATTTCTGATTCAGGACAGAAGCACTGCTTCAGGAGTAGACCATTATACCACACTGTATTGTAGGCAGCTGTGAGGGCCAATCTATCTCTCTTCAGGTTCTTTTGGAAGCCATTTTCAATGCTAGTGGTGAGTATCAAAATTTTGGTCTTGTGCTATGCTTCTTATGGAAACCAGCTTGGTCAACGTTAGGAATGGTCTAATTTCTGGAGCTGCGCGTCACAGGATAATGTGCTAAAAGATCTTAAAGCGCACAGAAAGTAGTGAAATTGGCTGTCATCACTGACCAGTGTGATATTTTTTCCACAATTTAGAATGGCAATGATATTTGTTGCCATACATCACACTTCAGGAATAGATTTGAGCTATTCTTGTGTAGAACTCTGGTATTGTTCCAGAGCACTTGTTTATAAAGCAGCACATCACTTCACACAACCAATATTATAATGAGACAACTATCTCAGAATGTAGCTATGATACATGAAGGAATTCTGTACCAGCTGCCAAACATTAAGATCTATTGGTGCATCCCATGTTGCTGACTGGAAATCAAGCTTGATGGGTCAATATCACAGGAAGTAAGTAAAATAAAGTCTTACATATCCTACTGATCTTTTTATTTATAAAGAATATGCAATAAATATTTATAAAACCCATAAGCAGAGTTAGGTCAGATGCCACAAAGGGGGTTAAAGCAAATAATGTGTTGGGATATGAAAGGATCTTGACAAATTCTTAAACAACAGAAATTTCCAGTTATGGAGGGCAACATGCTAGTTAGCTGTGCTCACAAGTAGTGTTGGGTCACTGTGGACCCCTGGAATTTTGCTTCATAGCAATGAGAAATTGAAAAAGAATGCTAAATTGTCCATGTTTACTACATTTATTAGCTGCTTTCTGGAGTTGGAAGAGTTTGGAAGTGGGAAAACATTGCACTGTTAACTAGATGGACTGGGCTGCTTGGACTTTTCTTGTTTCTTAGAATAACTCTATTTTGGTCGTTATAAAAGCTAAACAGTTCTATCACAAACAAAAAAAACAAATTGCTGGAGAAACTGAGCAGGTCTGGTAGCAAGTGGAATTCTGGTACTGTATTGTCCACAATGCAGATACTGTAGCTTACAAATAATTCATTCTGTGGAGTGCTTTGAGACATTTTGAAATTAATAGGTTGGTGTAAGTTACTGTGTAAATATAATTGAAGTTTGGCTTGCCAGAGGAGATGCAAATTGTGTCCTGATTTTTTTTTTTGGTTTTCACAAATAGATATATTAATTATCTTAAAAAATGCAAAGACAGAAACCTAATATGTTGGGATCCCAATTGGACTCTAATTATAGCAATTAATAAATTGTACATGTGCTTATTTTGCACTCTATCTAATTCTCTTGTAATTGCCTGTTGGAGACTTAATCTGAAACAAGTCAAATGGAATATTTAATTCTGTTACCACAAGTCACAAGGGATTTCAAAATTCTTGATTTTTTTCTTTCAACTGTGTTGTCTGGCCCAGATCAGTTGAGTAGATTTCTCTGTTTCTTGTTAAATTCAGTAGTAGTCTTCAGACCCTTCGTCCAGCTATGAACTTTGCACCTTGACTGCTATGTCATTACTGGCTGGAATACCTTCTTGACACTATCATGGGCACATAATTCTGCAAAAGGAATAGCATGTTCCACATAAAATTATTGTTCTGAAGATGAGAGATCATGTGTAGACATTACCTGGTATACAGACTGTGGTTACATTTTCTGGATATAATTCTCCCTGACAATCAGCATTCTAAAAAGGATTCAGTTAAATATGGGAAGACTGAAGGCATTCTTTTCAGTCCTTGCTATAAACCTCACTCAATTATCAATGTTTCTCTCTCTCTATCTTTCTCTTCCTAAACCCAATCCTGAAATGGCAGCAATTGTCTGAGGCTGTTGAAGCTCTTTGCAAATTGATGTTATATTTGAATCAGAGATGAATCACATCCATCACCAGCTCGAAGCCTGTTTCCACCTCTGACATTGTCCATCTCCCATCCATTTGTTTATTACTTCTAGATTTGACTATTCTAAGATATTCCTGGCTCATCTCCCATTCACTGTCCAGTATAAACTTGACGACATCCAAATATCTTGCCACTTGACATTCACTCAGCCCTTCTGTGTTAACTAATCCACACAGGCTCCCAGTTAAACAGTGCAACTTTTAAGAGTCTCATTCTTTTTAAATCCTACTTATAATCTGACTTTTCCCTAACTCTAGTCTCCAATCTTATGAGATATCTAATCCTCTGACTCTGGCCTCCTGAGGTCTGGAGTTATCTCCATGAA